TACAGCTTAAAGTGACATTTAAAGGCTTAACTAGGTTAATTACAGTAAGTTAACTAGGCAGGTTAGGGTAATTAGGCAAGTTACTGTATAATGATGGCTTGTTTTGTAGACTATCGAAAAAAAAAATTGCTTAAAGGGGCTAATGATTTTGTCCTTAAAATGGTGTTTAAAAAATTTAAAACTGCTATTTTTCTAGTCGAAATAAAAACAAATATGACTTTCTCCAGAAGAAAAAAATATTATCAGACGTACTGTGAACATTTTCTTGCTCTGTTGAACATTATTTGGGAAATATTTAAAAAGAAAACAAAATTCACAGGGGGGCTAATAATTCTAACTGTATATATATACAGAGTATATTCTTTATCTTTATTTAGCCTATAGATGAATGCATGAATGGTTAAATGCGCACTCAATTTAAAAATGAAAATAGAAGCTACCAGTACCTTCTGGAGACAGTTTGCTGATTATTGCAGGTATCACATCCAGACACTTCAAGTGCTTTTTAACTTCATCTGTTCAAATGTGACAAATAAATGAATACTATGTTGCTAAAAATCTTTTGATTTACTTACTGTGCCTATTTTTAAACCCTACGTACTGTTAGAAGCCATGACGCCCAAAGCCATGACAGCATTCCTGCGCACAATCTTGTCTTCATGAGATATGAGAAGAGAAAGGGGTTCAATCGCTCCCAAACACATCAAACAAGTCTTATTCTCATCACCTAAAAATAGCAGCAGACAGCAAAAACACACAGTGAAATCAATGAAGTAATACCACATGAGGGAACACAGTGGACACTTACCTCTGCAAAATTCTCAATGACCTCAGATTGTAAGACTAGATGACACTGTTACCTTTTTCTGCAAATTTGTGGATGGCCTCGCAAGCTTTGGCCAGCACTTCTTCTTCAGGGGAGCTGAGCATCAGAACTGCTGTTGTTGCAGTTTTGCTTTCGATGGATAAAGGGTCGAACTAAAAGGATTAAATGTGAATTGTATTAAAATGTTGGCATACGGAATATGAAGTCATATTTTCATGAAACTAGTACCTATTTTTTAGACCTTATGTTTTTCGTGAAGTACTGGTATTTATTTAGTGCAGTAGTACTACCAGACACACTGAAAAAATTAATCTTTCGGCTTAGTTCCCCATTAATCAGGAGTTGCCACAGTGGAATGAACAGCCAATTGTTGTGGCATAAGTCCAGCTACAGCTAATTTATGATTTTTTTATGCTTTTAAACTGCATTATGGGACCTTGATTTTCCTTCAACAACTTTTAAAATTTAAAAGTTTGAAAAAGTGTCTTTTATTAATATTATTAATCATAATTTGAAATCATACATATTCTGTATTGGTGTGGTTAATTACAGTACAAAAACTGGTGAGAAATTGGCAGTATTATTATTTATTTGTTATTTTACAGAATGAATAGTCTATACATTATTTGATATACAAAATATTGTTCTACAATCTCAATAAAAGTCAATTTGTAACACTGCAGAGATGAGTTTTTAACAAACAAAGTCAACAGAGCAGAGCTAAAGGTCTTATAATGCAATTCATAACTGTAAATAAATAGAAAAAACTTAATCACAAAATATGAAACCTGTTAATTCTTATTACTTGAACATATTTTTTAAGTAGCTATTCTGTTGTTACTTGTGACGAACAAATATTTAGTTACTTCAAAAAGTTTTTAAAATAAGAATTGTTTTTTTGTAGTAACTGCAAAAGATATCAAACGAATTAGTCGTATTATATATTTAAAATGTATGATGCACAATGATTAAGTTCTAGAATAAAACTATAACCTAGCTAATAATTATTAGTATACAAAAATTAAAAACTAGCATATATTTTATAGTTATTATGTATCCAATTAACTAGTATAATACAAGTGCACAATGATTAAATACTAGCGACAAATAAAAGGTAGCAGGCTATTATATAATATATGGTGGTATATTAAAAATGTAGTAGTATTCAGGAATAAGAACTGGTTTCTAAAGAATATTTTATCTTGTAGATAACATCTAGCATAGTTACAGTGCTCAGCCTATATAAGTAGACCCCTTTTAAATCTATCTTTTAAATGCATATTTTCAAAAGGAAGCTATACAATATTATATTTGTGCATATACATCAGATTAGCCAGTACTGAAGCCAAATCTGGAGCTTATTCAACAAAATAATTTACAATAACGGTCCAAAATTAAGTACACGCAAACTTATATGTTATAGAAAAATGTTAAATACAAATTTGTATGATCTTTCAATTTCTAAATATGCTTGGTGACTAAAATGTTGTTTTAGTGAATATATCTGTTTAATAAATCTGTTTTGTTTAAATGCACCAAAATGCATATATTCACTGGGAAATGGATAAAAATATTCATTTTCAAAACGGGGTGTACTTATTTATGCAGTGCTCTGTATAACGTTATTGAAAAGGTACTGTATAGGTAACTCTAAAGTAAGAATCTAAAGAATAAAACACTGTAAGAACATGATATGTAGCTAGGCCTTACTTTACTAGTACCACTTCATGGAAAGGACAACTGTATCTAAAAAAGAAAGTACTAGTAGCATGAAAACATAAGTAGGCTATGTTTTTTTTATTTAATGTTGAAACGGTCTACCATAGCGAGGAAGTCATGCAAAATCTCAAGGGTCAAGAAATACGCTCTCACCACATCTTTCGGGCATGTCTCAGCCTCTTTTTTGACTTTTTTCCCCATCTAGAAGACGAACACTGCAAGCTACATGCCAAAAGGTACAATGTATCAGAAACGAAGAAAGAATATCTTCCAACAAGATGAGAACAATAAAAAATAATATAAATTGTTTAACGTTAAGCACTTCTACAAAATGTACGTTACCTGTGCTTCTCCGACAGTGTGTGTCTGTTTAGCCTGCTGCTGTTGCTAGGTGACATGTTTAATTTCCCGTGTCACCTGTAGGTGGGGCAAGAATCACTTGATTCATACTTTGCCATGTATTTATTTGCCTATTAGTTTAAAATATGCCGGTCATGGACCGTTAGGTGGCTCTGACGTTAATACTTTATTAAATTGTACACAATTAAATTATTGAAGGGACGAGAAAGCATGAAAAAATGGTCATAATAAAATAACATGTTTTATTATTTTTTTTGGTTTATAATATCAGCCTATTGAACATCAAATATGCAATAATATATTGTTTCCATGTGATATATCAGCCATTTCAGTTACTTATTTGATGTTCTAAAATAGTCTTAAAGTTTTAGACTATATTTGTGGATTAGCCTATATTAGCTAATAGCCTTAAGTCAGTTAATCTGTCTTTCCATTTATATTTAACCATGAATAGTGGTTTTGATGTTATCATTAAATCAATTATAAACTAAAAACATTATTACACGAGGAATATCAAACGACAGAAGTTTTATAGGGCATCGGTCTGTGTAAATCAGTGCCACCTTTATAAAACAAGCAATTTTATATTCGTTCTTTGTGACATATCCCTCTATTTAATGTCTTGTTTGTGCATCTAGATTGTTTTAGTGCAATTTAAATGTTATTTACTTATTTAATTTTTTTATTTTTTATAAAATGTTTCTGATGAACTGTTATGTGTTCAGACTGATTTATTAAATAGATTAAATGATACACAAAATAATGAAATTAACATAATATGGAGAAATTCTAAAACCAAAATCAATAATCAATCTCAAATGTACTTGATCTGTAAACTTCTTAGAGAAGCAGCAGTCAGTGGAGGAGCCCCGGACGCTCTGGATGAGGATCATGCCCAGGCTCGTGGACAACAGCAGCTTTTCCTCGTTTTCCTCCCACTCCATAACATGGCTGGAATGAGGAGCATGTTCAGCAGTGGGTGATCCAGGCGGGGTGGAACAGGGAGCGCCACAGTAATTTGTGCTGTAAAACTGGAGAACACATAGAGACACCATAAATTAAGGCCAGGGGTTTTCAACCTTCTAGATGTTATGGACCCCCGAATATGAAAATCCAAGTTTTATTATTAACTTCAATTTTATATGTATATTTAAAAAATCTGATTATTCCTAATATTATTATTTTTTGCATTATTATTGATCTATAATTAATATATATAATATGTTAATCGATTATGTAAATCTTATTTAGGCGTACTTGATCATTTATTTTATACAAAAGTATGTATTCATCTTAATAACATTTCTATTTTTCTTCTATCCTATTAAATTGAAATTTTCTTAATTATTATTTTTATTTTTATTAGTTGACATTTTTATAATTGTTCGCTAAACAGGGACGCTTATCTAAGTATGTTTTAAATTAATCTATCTGCCATTGTTCTTTTAAACAAGAAATGTTGCTATTTTTAATCAATTGCAGACATTTAGATAATTTTTATTATGTGTTATTTCAAATGTGTGTGTGTCAGTGTGTGTATGTGCGCGCGCGCTCGTGTGTGTAGCTGTCAGTCCGTCAGTTGGGCAGTGCGGATGAGCCGGATACACCAACTTCTAGCAATATCACAGACAAAATTCACACCGATTTTGGACTCGGACACCTTCCACTCTCGGAATACTGGCTTCGTCTAAAAATAAACACCTTTTCGGGGCAGACAAGCGGCAGAGAAAGAAAGTGGGAGTGGGATTTTGCTTGAGACATATTTGAAGGGTTGTAGGCTTAGCCTGACTGGGGCGAGCTAGCATGCTAATGGAGCAGCGCCGCAGTGGATGCCTCTCCACCCGCTGTTTTTTCCTCAAATTACACTGACGCCGTTCAGATTACATTTTTTATTTGTTTCCAGCTGGTTCCGTCAGTATTTCTTCTAATTTACCCTAAACGGGGTGTTAAGAGGGGCTGGCTTGGGAGGCTAACGATTTAGCAAGTAAGGAAGGCTTACTGATGAAGTCTTAAGGGGATTTTGCTTTTTACGCTTGAGAACTTACAAATAACACCGCGTTTTGCTCTTAACTTTCATGTTATATGTAACGGCAGACTGTTTTAGCGCATTTGGCGAGTTATTCTTCTGTCTAGAGAGCTAATAGTTGAGTTGGTACAGCTAGCTGGCTGCGGTTAGCTAACTGAACGTTATGCCAAATTATATTTTACTAAGAGACAGTTAGGACACCACTAGCTTAATTAAAGCACTTGTCACTGTGTGATAGTTAATTTATTGTTATACAACAAACAATGGCCTCGGCTAGTAACACTGTCTCATCGTTTGCGAGCAAAACAAAAACGAAGAAGAAACACTTCGTGGCTCAGAAAGTGAAGCTGTTTCGTGCCAGCGACCCTCTGCTCAGTGTTCTCATGTGGGGAATTAACCATTCGGTGAGTGAAATCTGCAGCCTTTTCCTTTGTGTTTGTGTCCGTTATTGATCAGCGCATTACAATTAAGAGGCAAAGAGAACTTTAGGGTGTCTTTCAACCCGCAGTTGGCACCTTCTGTTTGGTACATGGTCTTCATGATCATCAGAGGGCTGCTTTGATTCTTTTATGTTGCTTAACCATCAGTTTAATGCATAACATTTTAATTTGCTCCGTAAAACAGTTGCATATCCTTATGTGGTTATAGGAAGTTCAATGGTTGTAAAACAATTGCAAAAATGAGGTTTAATTATTAATTTATTAATCTCCAGCGATCTATGATGATTTATATTTATTTTTAAGTAAAACAATAAAGAAGATTGCAAGTTAACATATACTGCCATTTTTAGAGTTTTTATATATATATATATATATATATATATATATATATATATATATATATATATATATATATATATATATATATATATATATATGCAAAACAAGATTAATTCCTCATAGTGCATGAAGTACTTAGGAAGTGAAACTGTTGGTCTGTGCAAAAAACCAAACATTAATTTTTATGTTATTAACTTTTATTAATATTTTGCAAAGTGTGTTCGAAACTGTCACACAATGATGTGTGTGTGTGTTTGTGCTCAAACTCACACCTGAGGTTGCATTGTTTGTTTATATCTTATATACTGTAGGTTGCAGCCTGCAGCATAAGTACATCAACCTATTTGATGAACAATACAACACATCCATCCTGAATAGCTGTTGTAAATAAACTGTTGTAAACTCCTGTGCAAATTTGTGCCTGCACATACATGATGTATGTGATGATGGATATACGCTAAGAAGTTTATTCTCTAGATTGTCGTGAGTCAGGACTGTTTTCTAAAACTGAATAAAGGTTAATGTTGCAAGTAATGTTTAGTTTCTTGCACAGAGCCAATTTATTATAGTGAGCCACAAGTGTTGTATATTCCTTTTTTTACTTTCAACTATTGACTTAATTTTTAAGGATCACCCCAGTTTAGCTAAAATGTTTGTTAAATGTTTTTCTAAAGAAAAAAAAAAGTCCTGTACATCTTGTATGGCCTGGGGGTGAGTAAATTAACAGCAACATTTCAAATTTAGATGATATATCCCTTAAGGCTGTAAAGTTGTAAGCCTTCATATTTGGTATGTAAGGAATCTCATTTGTAAGGTTTCTATGTCCTTTTACGTGCATGCAAAGACGTTGCAAAATAATATCTGTATCAGTAGTGGAGTTGTGGGTGAGTAATCATTTCCTGTTGGAAGTTTTGGTTGCAAGATGATAAGCTGAAGCAAGACTCATCTCAGCTGCTACTGACTCTTCTACTAGTTGCAACATTTAGCTGTCGTTAAAGGAAAAAACAACTTTGCTAATGTATTTGTTTTTGGGTATATACAGTTTTAAATGATTATATTAGTCGAGGTGATGCATAGCAGTATTTAGTCTTTACAGAAATCAGCAACATTCTGATAGTCCATATACTTTTAATGTGACATGCGGTTGCCCCCTCCAGCTGTTTCTGATGTTGCTCTGAATGAGCTGTCACAAACCAATCATACTGCATTCTTTTAGGGTTCAACACAAAGCTTTTTTTTTAAATGTCATTCTTTATTGTTGCATCTTGTTTTCAGTTTTGTACTTTTTCTACACTGTCTGGTGACATTTTCCGAATGTTTAGATGTCTGAGACATTAAATTTATTTATTTTCCAGTCACACATACCACCCTTAAGGGTCATTTTCTGCTTTATTTGTATATTTACAGAGGATAAATGTAGCCTACATGGATGGTTGACATTTAAGAAAATGTTCCAACAGACAAGGCATGAAAATAACATGGCTATTTGTATTATACTTAAAGCCTCTTGTAAAAGCCTTACCTGCCTGTCACAAGAAAAAAGAAAACATATAGGAAAGTAAGGGTAAAATTCTTCATCATCCTTCTGTGTACAGGTATGTAAAATAAAATATTTGCATTCTTGAAAATACAACATTTGATTTTATAATTAATTATTTTCTGTCGGATGGGTAAAATCTAGTGATTTTACTACAGTGTTATATCATATTAGTCTTTTAATATGTCAGCAAGTAATGTATGTAAACTATAGTTTAATTGAATGCCATCGGTTTTCGTGGTTTAAAAAATAATGCTGAAAGTTTTGTAGCGACTTCTTCTGCATTTTATGACCTATTTAAATGGATTATCAAAAACACAAAACAATGATACTTTTGGGAAAAGTCTAGCACATGTATGAATGAAATTTACATTTAAACATGTAAACATGTAAAAAGTTTAAACCTAATATAAAATGTAAAGAAAAAGCATGAATGAATCTTTCACAATAGCGGACATTAAAACGAAAGAACAAATTTCCATTTCAAGCTGAACATAAGCAGAAAAGGTTTTGTATTATGTAAAAGTGTTGAACCACAGCGGCTTGTTAGGTTGTTTTGCATGATATAAACATCAACAGCGAGCTGTGGTGCATTGTGCCATGGGTCATAGCGGAGGTCAGCTCTTGGTCTTGCAGGACTGGAATGGAATTAGAAAGAGGGGGAGGCCAAAAATCACAAGAGACAAGCGGAGAACAGATCCCTTCTTATCTGTGACAGCCCCATCAGTTAAAAACATTGACTGCCACTGGCCAGAGCTAACCACGCTACTACATTTCTAAAGGCTGCAAATGGGGCCTTGGAACCTAGTACTGGAAATTTTAGATATCATGCAACTCATGTGGTCAAGAAAGTTGAGGGTGGAGTAGTTGGTGCAGCTCTCTGGTGCTTACTCTGCTAATGAATCATGCATGCAGCTGCAGGCCCTCACTGAGCTCAGACTACTAAACAGAAAAGCAGCAGCAGCTCTTGACCACTAAGGACCACAATGCTTGAATTTGATTAGCAAACCAGTGAATGGGGAATATAATGTAACCTTATTCAATCTCGTATTAAGGAGCATCTCCGCTTTTGTATGTCTAAATTGTGTATGCATTGAAATTGATACGAGAATTAATGCTCAAAAAGAGGATATTGAGATGATTACAAAGGCAAACAGGCAGTGGGAAGTGGTTGTTTTATTCACTCATGGCTGTTGCATTACCCTCCCCTTTCTGCTTACTCAGTACAGGTCTTTACGCTCTCTTAATCTCTTTATCTCTTACTTTTCTCTTTGTTAAGCCTTCCAAGCTTCCCAGACTCTCCCACCCTGACCAAGAGTTGCTCTGTCTATGTCTGGATTGCATAAGGAGTTTCTAAAAATACTTAAGATACAGCAGCCGATCTGTGGCACTGGGAAAATAGACATACTATTTTATTTTTACACCGCCTAAGGCAAAGACTGATCGTCTTCAAAGTCTTTAAAGCTCAAATCAGACCGCTTTGATTAGATGGTTTTTTTACATGTTCTTCTCAGTAACGTGCATTTCTGCTCAACTGCTTGTGGGATGCTATTTGCGATTTTCTTTGCTGTAGGCGTATCAGCTTCAACTAAAAACGTCATGCTACTTCTTATCTGTGTAGCTAGTAAGAGAAGATAAACCAAAACTATCAGTTCATTCTGTTTTTATTACCTATCAGTACCTATACACAAATTAAGTGTGCCTGAGTTTGTTATTCGTGGGAGGGCAGCGCAGGTGAGTGACCTGGATAACAGATTTACTTCAACCTTAAGTTGTAGAAGATCAACATTAAGCTCTGATTTGATCACGCACATCCTAACTGCTACCCTTTAAACAAACTAATAAGACTGCAGATGACTTCTGGATTTAGAAGTTTTTTTTTTTCAATACACGGCTCATTAATAAGGACTGCCCGATGGCCGGGGGCCAGCCAAAGAGACGCTTGGGGCAGTAGACAGCATTGCTACTGGCCCGATCTGTTTAATTTTGGATGTTTAATTTGCCTTTGACTATTTGTCAATTGTGTGCAAATACAAAAAAAAAAGTAACAATTTGTGTTTTCAAGCCTTTAAATGCTTCTCTTGTCTTCTCTGTGATGTTGTAAACAACATATTGCTTTTCGGTTGCTCTTATCTGATTGGATGTTGTGAGCATGTTATTTATTTGGTGGGCATGGTGTACGGGTCGTTCACATATCATATGAGAAGCACTTCTCACAAAACAGATGTTTTATACTAAGGGTGTCACGATCCTCCAAATTCTCGATTCGATTACATTTTCGATTCTGAAGGCACGATTCGGTTCGATTTTCGATTATGAATAGTTAATTAATTAATGACTAATTAATTATTTTTAGCCTACTGTTTAAACTACCTGACCTGCATGGTCTTTGTTTTACCCATAAACAAATCATACAGTAAATGAATAAAGGCAAGTTACACACATAATTACCACCTGTCAATCACTTTTTCTGCGGGACTCGTGAATAGGCAGTGATCTGTGTCGTTATAATGGCGTCGGTAAAAAAAGACTCACAACCAACAGGAACCAGCCAACAGTATCTGAAGTGTTCGCTAAAATGACTAAGTACAAGTGAGTGAAAGATTGAAGCAGTCCTCTGACTGCCTGGACCTGCTGTCTGGAGCGCATGGCTGTGAGTGCGTCTGTGTCTGTGTGGTCACGTGATGTGCATTTTCAGAGGTAGAGAGGAAGGAGGGCTGCTCAGAAATGCTACACACCACTGTGGATGTCAAATCGTTGTCGTTCTAAAATGCCATTTAAAAACAAAGACAGTGTAAACAGGGCCTGAGTGTGTCCTTTTTCGCGAGCGGATTTGCAACGGGGGCGGGCGGAGGATCGCGATGCCGGTGTTGTTTATCGGACGAACCATACGTAATACGTACATAGCAGAGCTTGCAAAACTGTGTTTTTTTTGTCGACAACACGAACGTTGTCAACATAACTCACTGGAAATCCAAAATGCTTACACACCGGCGACTTCATTGAAAGAGGAGAGGGTTTAAGTTCTGTCGACGGGTCTCCTGCTTCTGCAGTTTAACAAGCACTGCAACAAGCCTGATATTTTCCC